AGCCTGACCCGCTTGCCAGCAGTGAGGTGTGGGTTCGAGGTGAAGTAGAAACACTCACTCTAGCAGGAATCCACATCGAAGCTCACGTCGGAGCACTGAGCATGAACTCACGGTCCACGCGCGAACCACCGATCCACGCAGCACCGATTCACGAAAGCACCAACTCACAGCACGGAATCCACCACGAGCCCACAATGCACCAAACACCGAATCCACGAAGTGGCAAGGACGAAGCACGAAGCATGAAGCAACGAATCCACAATGGACGAAGCACGAAGCATGAAGCACAGAATCCACAATGCTTCACGGAAGCTCCAAGCACGGACCATGTACTACAAAGCACCAAAGCGGAAGGACCCCGCGGGGGGGAAGAGAGAGAGAGAGAGAGAGAGAGAGAGAGAGAGAGAGAGAGAGAGAGAGAGAGAGAGAGAGAGAGAGAATGCAGGTGGGACTAAGCACGTCGAGCGGGTGGGAGTAGGCCCCGGGCGTAGCGAGTAGGCGAAAGCAGGATCGTAGGCACGGGAGTAGGCGTGGAGTGGCCATAGGCGCGTCGAGTACCGACCGCCCCCAAAAACTCTTCCACAAAGGCCGACGAAAAACAACCGAAAACGAAAAGAAAAAAGAAAAAAGTGGAAGGGCCGTTTGGGCGGGCCGAACCGGTATCGCACGGCCCAGATTGCAGGCCGGTCACCACCTGCCGACGGCCCAGATCGCAGGTGGATGAGAAAAGTTCCTCATCGGCCTGCGATCTGGGCCGTCCGCGGGTGGTGACTGGGCCGCAACCTGGGCCGGTAGATATGACGTTAGCGATTCTTATAGTATTGTAGATACAGTGTAGTTGTGTACTTCAAGGCGATGGTCGACGCCCCTCAATCGGTAGGCGACCGACCAGCTGACCGGTTCGCCTGTTGGCACCCTGCCGAAACAAAAAGAGCAGCTGGACTAACATAACGCCCCAACCCCAATGACCCCCCCCTAGCCGCTTCTCTGCTCCCCCCCCTCCATGACCCCTCCGACCCCACATGATCTCTCCCATTCCCCTCCCCCCCTCCCCCAGGAGGGACCCCTCGGACCCTCTTGGACCCCTTCCTGGACCCCCTTGCCAACCCCCCTCCCCAAAACTGAAGTTCCTTAGGGAAATTAGTCTGTACTCACTGCTCGGCAAGCGCTTTACAGCCCCAAACTCGGATTAAAAAAAAATTGAGTGGATGATCCTCTAGCGATTGGACGGCAGACTGCGAATCGGTCGCCAGACCGCCGACCAGTTGGCCCTACCGGTAGGTAGGCTGCAGAATGGCCGACGGTCTTCCGTTAGCGGTCGGCTCGATGCAACACTGTATGTGTATGAACAGGCAATTTAGTATACTTATGCATAGGCTGCAAAATTTGCATGAAAAGGCTGTGGAATATGTAATGCTGTGTATGGTTAGCGATTCACGTTCTTGTTAGGACGACCAACTTAATGGAATAGCATTTCGATTTCAGAATGAAGAGAAGATGTGAAAAACGAGCAATTGTAGTTAATTCTGGTCTGGTCGCACCATCTTCACCCGAATAGAACGCCCGGTCATTATTGCTGCATGTAGACTGAAAGTTGCACCAAATACTGCGATTATGACAGGGCGTTCTATTCCCGTGAAGGCGGTAGTTATGTGGTAGCACACCTCCGGTTATGTACATTTCAGTACTTTCTTCCCTACGAATAAAACCTACGGCCACTATAGCTGTTGTGTTTGTGGGCAATTTGAAGTCCTAGATACGGTGGCAATATGACCGAACGCTCGGTCGGGGGGGAACAGGGTGGTGGTCGAGCCGTATTCTCTTCCATTTGCTGGAGATGTCAATTTTGTGTAGGTAGTAACTACGGTCTTCCCGAATAGAACACCTGGTCATTATAGCTGCATGTGGACCAAGTGGCAGTCTAGAAACAGCGATAATCACAGGGGGTTCTATTCGAGGGTGAAGACGGTAGTGAACTTAGGGCGTACTCACGCTAGCTCTGTCTTGAATGAATGTATTTTGACAATTTTTGACCGAGTTTACGGCCGGACGTGGATGGTTTTTTATCGTAATTGCGACGTGCATAAGAAACTTCAAGAAGGTGAAAAAGCCCCTAGTGTGAGTATGCGCATCAAGGCGTAGTGACACAAAAGGGCGTTTTGAAGTTTCAACTGCTCTCGGGGCATAATTGGGGTCTAGACCATACTTGCAAGCGAACGTCGTGCGGGCGGTTCCCTACATGCGGCGCACGCGCCCAACCGATCCCGTGTGCGGGGAACGACCCGTCACCCCCCTCAGAAAAAAAAAAAAAAAAAAAGGCCGGGTTTGAAATGGTGCGTTTGAGGCCCCCGGCCAAAATTACAAGCGAGGTGAAAAAACAATTGACAGAAGTACTGCCTCACCTTGCTCCTCCTCCCCTTCCTCGTCCTCCATGTCTCCTCCTCCCTTCTCCTTTTCATCTCCTCCGACTCGTCCTCCTCCTGTTCGTCCTCCTCCTCCTGCTCTTCCTCATCCTCCTTGTCTCCTCCTCCTTGTCTCCTTCCCTTCCTCCTGTCCTCCCCTTCCTCGTCTCCTTCCCTTCCTCATGTCCTCCCCTTCCTCGTGTCCTCCCCTTCCTTGCCGTCCATGTTTCCTCCTCCTCCCACTCGTCCTCCTCCTCCTGCCCTCCCTCTTTTCCCTCCGCCCATCTCTTCTCCTCCCCCCATCTCGACGACTCCTAGTTGTCCTCGCTATCCTCGTCGTCCTCCTCGTCCACATCCTCCTCCTCCTCTCCATATCCCCCTCTCCTTGCCATATCCCCCTCTCCTTGCCATATCCCCCTCTCCTTGCCATATCCCCATCTTCCTGTTAGACACCCCCCGTTCCCCCTCCCAGAAAAAGATAAAAAATAATAATAAAATTATAAAAATAAAAAACCTGCACGATTCCGCACATGCACCCCCCGCACGGAACTCCGCACGAATGTGTGGCTCGTGCGATTGCAAGTATGGTCTAGACCTGTCCAGTACGCCCAAAAGAGACGTGAAAAAAAAGAGACGTGCAGTATTTGCAGATGCTCCGCAGAATGGATAAGAGGTCAGGCCCATAAGGGACCTTTTGTTTTTTGTTTAAAGAGATGTGTAAGTACCCGTAGGATGCAGGGAGAGTCTGATAAGGGACCTGGTTTTTTTTTTTTTTTTTTTTTTTTTTTAAAGAGATGTGTAAGCACCTGCAGGATGTAGGGAGAGCCTGGTACATGGTAGTTTAACCTTATCCATGGCGGGTTGCATAAG